ACCGATGGCTCACAACCATTGTTCACATGGGCGGGGAGAAGAGGGAGAGAATAATGTGAACTCTCCAAGGTGTTGACCAGGGAATTTGGTTTCTTAGCCATCTGCATATCAGTAATCCCCATGGTTCTACTTTAGAGCTCTCTCTATTGTGCTACCACCATTAGAGGCCAGAAATAGGACACAAAACAGGTGGATGCTGACGCTGGAGAACTGTAGCCCAAGAAGCGCCCCCCCCCCAGACACCCTCATCACTAAGCAGGAAACCAACTGAGGTTTTGATGGCTTGATTGATTTTTAAAGAAGCAAAGCTAATGCAAGGGGGAAAGCCTGCTGGTGCTCTTCGGTATTTTCTTCTTTATTTTATGTTCATACGTTTCTGCGGGAGTGCCAACTTGAATAAAATATTGGGGTGGGGGCTGGTAAGCCCCGCCCCACATAATCGATCACATAACACGATGCGCAGCCACCATTTGTTTTTGTGTGTTTTTTCAAAAATTTTTATTAAGTTTCACAAAATTATACACAAACAAAACACACAAACAAACATAAATCATATCCCTATCAAAATTACACTTATTGACATTGTTAAGTGACTTCCTCGCTTCCCCTTGGTTGAATTTCCATGCATATCCTTATAACGGCTTTCCAAATCATAATTTTTATAAACTTAGTCCATTAACATCCTTATATCTTTTCAGTTCGAAATTGTACATCACTTAACTTATATAAATTCCTAAGCCAATCTATTGCCTGCAAGCTATTTCCAATTAGTTTAACTTAACAAATTTAGCTAAGTAATCGTTAAAGTTTGTCCATTCTTCCTGCACCCACCATTTGAATGGCAATACTAAACTTGGGGGGAGACCTCTCAAATATTTTATTGGGGGGCCGAAGGGCCGCTAGGAGTTGGCTCCAACCTTCATTTGATTGCCTTATTAATAGATCTGAATTGGCCCTGTTTTCCCATTTCAGTACAAGACCTGATCCTTGGGAAGGCGTCGGGTTCTGTTTTGTAAGAGCTCCTGACCATATGCAAAGCGCCCAGAAAAACAAAGGCGCCCAGCGTGGGACGCCAGCTCCGCTGTAGCGCCCTGCGCGCCCTCCTACTGCGCCATCCCCACTCCGAGCCCTTTCCCCCCGCTGGAGGCTTACCCTGCCCGCAGGCGCCCCGCTGGATGGCGATGACGGCCGGCTGGCGCTGGCCCTCGGAGAGGCGGCTGGCCGCCCGCAGCTGGCACACGTTGCCGTAGCTCCTTCCGTCGTTGCCGCACACGGGCTCGCTGCTGGCGCACACGCAGCGGCCGCCCTTGGCCCGCCGGCGCACGGTGGCCGAGGCCGCCACGCCGGGCCCGCCGGGCGACACCACGCACAGCAGCCCCTCGGCGCACGACGGCTCCCCGGCCGGAGGGCCCCCGCACGGCTCGCCTTCCTGCGCGGCGCAAACCGGGCAGCAGCCGCACGGGTCCAGAGACTCGCCGCTGCCCGCGCACTCGGGCGGCAGCTCCGGGCAGCGCGCGCGCTCGCAGCGCTCGGGGCAAGGCCGCTCCTCGAAGCGCCGCCCGTACAGCTGAGCCCGGCAGCCGGGCGGCGGCAGCAGGCAGAAGAAGCTCAGCGCCAGAGGCCACAGGGCTCCCCTCATCGCTTTGGCGCGCTTTCTCGCTCAGAAAAGGCGGGAAGCGGGTGGAGAAAGGCGCCGCGTCTGGAGCGCGAGAAAGGCGCGCGAGGCGGAGGGGTTTGCAGCAGAGCGCTTGGCCGCCTGGCTCGCCGAGGCACGCAGATGGAAACGGCGGCGGGGAGAGCCGCTTTTAAACGGAGCGCCTGGGGAGGGAAGGCAGAGAAGATGCCGTGCGCGTGGAGAGCGGCCCGTCGGTTGGCCGCGCCGCCGCCGCCTGGGAGGGGACGTGGCGGGGTTACACAACCGCCGGGGCAGGAAAGGCAACGCGCCGCCGCCGCCGCGCCAAGTGGGGCAGGGAGCCGCGGCAAGCCGTAAAGCTGGCACCCGCCAAAGCCCATTTCCACCAAGCCGGAGGCGGCGGCGGCGGCGAGCCTGGGCCGGGAAAGTTATTCTAAGCTCGCTGAGCTGCGAGCGCTTAATGCCGGCGGGGCGGAGCTACGCGCAACCCGCGCTTTCTGTCAACCTCAGCCAAGACTCCCGAGTGGAAACAGGGGCATTCTCTTCGCCAACACAATAATGTATTTGAGGAGGCCGCCGCCCCCCTCCCCAAAGTTAATGGGCATTTCCATTCAAAGAGTTGGCGTGTGCATAAGGCGTGTGGGAAGGTGTGAGTGAGCTCAGCTCGGCAGTCAGGGAATAAGAGGAGAGGTCCTCGGGCGGAACAGAAATTGGTTAATCAGCAGGAAGCGGGGAGTAGTAATAAATGGACAGTTCTGTGAATGGAGAGATGGGGAAAGCCGGAGTCTCCCAAGGATGGGATTGCGAACTGGGGGTTTCAAGTGGCTCCTAAGTGATAGGCTTGCCATACGTCAGGAAAATCCCTGACATGTCCTGGTAGAAATGGCACCCAGGGGGAATTTTGCCAAATCTGCGTACCTGTAAATGTCAGGGGGAACCCGGATGTATGGCAATGCTGTGGAAAAAGTAGCGGGAACAGCTGCATAAGCTTAAAATCACTACTTTGGTGGTTTCCTTTAAAAAAAAAGCGCTCAACAGGTGTCAGGAATTTTAGGTCAACCCTATAAATTAGGGGTGAGCCATGAGGTGGCCAGGTTTGCTGATGATACTAAATTGTGGATAAAACAAAGATTGCGAAGATTTCCAAAGGGACCTCTTTAAACTGAAGGTTTAAGATGGTAAATGGAATTTTATGCATGTTGGTGCAAAAAATCTTTAATTTCACATATACAATCATGGGAGCTGAGCATTTGGGAACTGACTTTGGGATCGTAGTGGTTAGCTTGATGACTGAAAAAGGCAATCATTAAAAACGGAATGAATAATAAAACTGCTGATATAATGTTATATAAATCTATTGTGCAGTCACATTTGCTTCACGATAAAAAGTATATTGTAGAGGTGAAAAGGGGTCAGAAAAAGCACAAGAAAATGATTAAGAAAAAGATGGACCGGTGAGCATTAACAAAATGGTACGACTGGTTTCAAATCTTATGTCTGGCATTCATAGTCAAGGCAGATCCTGTGAAACTGAGCTTTAGAGTTTTAGAGTCTCTGTAAAATACTGTAGGACTCTAATTTTTTTTTAAGAGTATTGTATTGTACAAATTAGTATTGTACAAATTAAAAGTTAAAACTGTATGTCTTTCCAATATCTTATTTAACTGGTACTGTTAAATGGCTAAATAAAGCAATTTGTTAGTAGTTCTGAAATGTAAAATCCCGTACAGTAAATCACAATTGTTTTTTGTTGCTTCTCTTCAGCACCATACAACGTGTTGGGGTTCAGTTATGTCAACATGTCACTACAAGATACTTTTTTATATATATTAACAACTTTGTATTAATGTGACATTTTTATATGTAACTGTATTTTTTAGTATTTTGTCTATTGTTACTTTCTTTTTTGTACACTGCTTAAGAGACATTTTAAATATATGATGCGGTATAGAAATGGAATAATCCATATATATTTGCCTTGCTTCAGTTTTGAAAAGCATTTATGCAGTACAGTAAGCCCTCAATAGGGTTATGTTACAGGGCTCACACCTAAAGCCAAAGTGGCATGTAGTCAAAACACATTAGGCACACATTGGGTTGGCAAAGACTTCCTACCCACCCCCTGCCCTGCCCCACCATGTGCTCCCTTTCTAATTTGTAAAAAAAAGGGGGGCAAGTATGTAAAGCTGAAGACACACAAGTTTAAATTAAGTTGCAGGCTTACTGTAAAAGGTTATGTTTGATACATGGCACTGGCTGTGAGGCCACACTATGTATTGCCGTAACTACTAGTTTTCAAGGGAGTCACAAATTTCTGAGAGAAGGAAAAGCAATCATTTCCCCCTAAGAAACAAACAAGAACAAATGCCTTTGTTCTTCTTTGCTGTCAACACACAGCAAGAGAATATAATTAAAATAATATTGATTTGAGGGAGAGAGGACCCCACCCACTGGTGGTTTTGGCACTGTTACCTGCCATCATGCAACTCTCAGCAATCAACCCTGAAGGAATGCAGTCCACTACAGAAAATATTCATCTCCTGCTTTAGGAGCCCTTCTGCCTACCTTCCTAGGCTCAATGGCCATTCAGTTCTGTAAATGCAAGAGATTCCCATTAGGCAGTTTTGTTGTTTCGAAACAACACTCTTCATTCACCAGCTGAAGTACCGGTACTTGTACATGGCTAGGGTGTCCTCCGTGTACGGAGCAGTCATTGTCATTTTTTGAGTAGCCCCCATTCGCTTCCAAAGCAGCCAAGTACTTCTCACTTAGGTTCACTATCAGAGGGGGAAATGATGCATAAGCAGCTGTTTATAACATTGCTATTATGCTAAAATAAATAGGTCAACCTAAACTGTTACCGGGCTGTAAAGCTTAACTCAGGCATAGGCAAACTTGGCCCTCCAGATGTTTTGGAACTACAATTCCCATCATCCCTGACCACTGGGCCCTGAGGGATCATGGGAGTTGTAGTCCCAAAACATCTGGAGGGCCGAGTTTGCCTATGCCTGGCTTAACTGCTGAAGCAAATCAATATAACTAATGGTATGCATGTGAGAGGTCATTTGGACCCGAGATGATCCCCAAACTAAACAGTTCTGCCAGCACAAGGAGTTTCAGCTGCACAATAGAGGTTTCCTACTCCTCTGTGTGACCCCTGCATGCCCATAACAGATCTGGGGTCATACTAGGGACAATTCCATTGTGCTAGTGGAAGTGTTTAGTTGGATACCACCTTAAATTCTACAAGCAACTGACAATTACAAAAAAGGCTTTTGCAATAACTCTTCACACCATATCTGTATGAGATGTGAGACCACTATTTTTAAAAATGATGGGAACCAAAGGATTATTATACTACACAGAATGAAGTTTTCACAGGTCGGCTTTTCTTTATTTTTTAAAAAACTTGTTACTTAGTTTTCTGTGAATTAAACAAGGAAGAACAACAGATAGTATGCAAACAGTTTCACTCACCATTAACCTTTTTCTTTTGAAGTGCACTAAATATAGTAGTCTGATAGGATTGTTGTATTTCAGTACTGAAGTCAATTTATTAATAAGTGTGACATTTACAGAAAACACCACAGGTTCTAAAATAATTTAACAATTTTCATCCACTTTATAAAAAAGGTACTGATAAATAAGAGACCCTAACAATTTAGCAACCACAATATTTTCCTGCACTGAACTATCTTAAGCAGTTAAATTTTAAAAGAATCCCAGTAAGAGTGCTGCTTCCTTTCAAATTCAGTATCTAAAATTGGCAATATCAAAACAGAATAAAATGAACATGCAGTGTGAAAACTGTACCAGAACCAGGAAATCTAAAACTACAACAAAGTATGCCAATACAAACATTCCAATTCAGTTTCTCCCACAATGTACATATTTGTGAAAAATAAGGTTTCAAATATCTATTGGCTAAGTTTGTTACAAGTTAAAATGTATGCTACTAAACTAATCTTAACAGTCAACTTACCAGTTCACATGTAACTGAAAAGGCAAATAATGTAATTTACAAACACTGCTTGTGTTTAGCTTATGGTTAATAAATGTAAAGGTGCTGCTATACTCATTAGAAACAAGACCACCACAGTTTGGCATTGCTACTACTATAGCTGTAGGCATTTGTCAGTACTAACAAATCTTTTCTCTTTTCAACTTTTAGTCTCAACAAATCCAAATAATGTTTACAAGCTTTTGTACACAGGCGATTTCCCCTCAAAACTGAAAGTTTGGGAGTTTTTATTAACATGTTGCAATTTCACCTATGTACCTTTCAATAAATAAAATCAGTGTGCTGAAAAAGTGGAAAGGGGAGTGTAACCTTGAAAGGAAGCCTAAACTAGTGGATTTACCATGATCACAAAGTAACTAGATTCTGACAGGCAAAATTCTAGGTGGATGTGTGCAATGATATAAATTCACACAAAAATATAAGGAACAAAAAATGAGAAGACACAATGGAATCAGAAAAATGCAAGATTGTCTGCACCAATGGTGTAACTGCTTGTACCTCTTGCTATGCGATACTGTATGTAGTGCAGAATGTGCCCCCCCCATGTAAATTCCAGTGGGATGGGGTGGGAATCACACAAAGAACTGCATAGACATATAGGCTTAAATCAAGTTTTGTGGGGGAAGGCATCTCTAAGGCAAATTAATTTACCGGTAAAGCTGGAGGCCACTTAGCTGCAGGCAGAAAGATTATATGCCGAAGACCAGATGACAGGATGGAATGAGCAAGTTGCAGAAGTTTAAAGTCTCAAGGTGCAAACTAGTACAGACCACGACATTAAGAACCTTGGGCAAGCTGAAAGTAGGGCTTCCATGTGAATACTTATGTAGTAGGGCTGCAAGTGTTACTCTCCACTTGCATTTTCTTTATGTATTGCACAAAGAAAGCCAATAATTGCAGGTCACCTTGGAACTGAAAGAAAATTTCTCTGGAACAAGAAATGAATTAAAATGGAAAAGACTACATGACCCACAGTGTGCTGGTTTTAGGGAATTTTGTCACTGCCACGTTTTGAGGGCACTGACTAGGGCTTTTGGGGGGGTGTACTTTTAAACAGGTTGTTGTGACAGTCTATACAGTCTAGTTCAGGGGTCGGCAAGGCTTACTGGGCATGGGCCAGATCACTCCCAGGGAGATCCTCCATGGGCTGGGCTAGCGCAGCGTGATGCCGGAAATCGCTTCTGCAGATGCCCAAAATCACACCTGCGCAGAAGTGGCGTCTGGGCTCGGGGGCTGGTTAAACGGCCTCGGTGGGCCGCTTCCAGCCCATGGGCCGCGGGTTGGGGACTCCTGGTCTTTAGTATTTGAAAAAGGTCATCTGGTGCTATTGCCTGCGAAGCTAAATAAACTCTACTGGGCCATGAGCAGCTATCTTCTTCCAATGAGGCTTGCGGGTGGGGCAACTGAAAGTCAGCAGCAAATTTTGAGTACGTGGAAACAACCAGAGTCCACAATGAATTGGGGTGGCACATAGGGCATAATCCACTTCTGTCACATCTTACTAAATGGCAAGCAAGAAAGAGAGCAGGCAACATGCCTGTTGGCTGAAGTAGAATCCCACACAACTTCACTCCAGAACCCTTAATTTCAAACAGGTTGCTTATCTGCACCGCTGGGGCATAACTCAACTGTATGTTCACTGAAGTAGTGGACATTTTCACTTAAATGTCTGAAATACCTTTTTCCCTTTTTCTTCATGCTTTGTCAAGCATCTCTCTCTCACACACACACAAGGTTTAAAAAAACTAGAGTACTACAAACTGGAAACTGAATTGCATTAAGCAGCATCATGTGAAACTTTGGGGCTTTTGTTGATTAAAGCAAATAATTTCACAACCTAACTACAAAATAGTGCATGCTCATTCTGATCAAAATATCCAACATCAGTGTCTTAAACCCATTATTTTCATCACTGAAACCCTGAAAAGTTTAAAAAACACAATGCACAGCTAATAGATACCAGTATGCTGGCAATGCTAGCGTATCTTTTTTTGTACATGTTGTGAACTACACTACACAAAATAAGGTTCAAAACCACAAAAGCAAAAATCAGCATCCAATTAACCCCCAAACATTTAACACATCATGAAAGAAGAACCCACAGGCACTTTTAATAAATTTAGTGCACCAAAAGTTACAGGCCACAATTGCATGATTGAACAACTCAGTACCAGTTAACAGCATGAAACAAGTTTTTTAGACTTTACTAACCCAAATATAAAATGGGAACCATTTAATACCACACTGGGGGGAAAGGAGCATACAGGAGGGGGGAAATCTTAAGACAATAGTTTTAAACTTTTAATTTCTGCGAAGCTTAATATAAAATACTTTTAGTTAAACCTGTAAAAGATTTATTTAGTAGTCCAGTTTCCCTTCTCCTTACTTAAAAAACCCCACGACACCCTTATTTATTGGTGGTCCATTAATATCCAAATGTGCAAAAATTACAATTTACCTTTAGGAGTGCATAAAAATAGGCTTAATATTCAAAATAGCTGTATTACTCTTTAATTAGTTTCACAGCACCAAATACCAGGAATTCTAAGGGGATTGAATTCTATAGAAGGGCAGTGATTCACAGAGAAGTTACAAAGAAGTTGTTCCAATAAAGTCAGCACACCTTTATCGGTGTAAGTGCTCTGTGCCCCTCACCTTTAGGAATGCTTTTCTCACACATAGAGACACTCATTTCATGTAAGTTAACACACTTGTATGCAATGTCTAAAATATAGTGCAGGTGGTATTTGTGCCATAAGAATGCAGATCATGCAGCAGCTGCCAAATCTGTATCATCGTGGTAGGGAAAATACACTTCATTTCAGACACTGCAGAATTATAGTGTTGTTTTTTACATGAAGACTCTGTGCATAGGAAAAGTACATTATATCAAGCTCTGCGTATTTCTGTAAGTTTCTACAGTGTTGATCCTATAAGAAACAACTCTGCATACATATATTAAAATATCTGAAAGGCTGTGCCAGTGTTTTAAGAAAGTAAGTCAACTTGCTTGTCAATAGCCTGAATTAGAGTATAAGTAAGTCACATGTTGACATTTCTTTTATTAAAGCACAAAGATACTACTCAGTTTTGCCATATGGGTGATGAAAAGCAGCTGGTATCTTGCTTATTGACAACAGTAATATTTAATCATTTGTTTTGGCCCCTCACTTTAAAAAGATTTATCATCAGACTGCGGTAGAAGCAAAAGGTCCGCTCTGATAATCAGTACAAGGCAGCATATGACAATTTAAACATACACAAATTTGAATGTAAGCACACACATATAAGCAACATTCCATTCTTTGTTCTTTCATCCCATAGTCATCTTTGGCTAAAAGTCTGAGCAAGGAAATTCAAGGACCAAAAGCAAATGCATCACTCTCCAAACTCTTCCCATTATTACACATCACTGACTGGAAGGCTTGCATCATCCAGATCCACTGGGCCAGGATCCTGTTCCTGAGTGCCATTTTTATTTTGAGGTTCCATTAGGCCCTGTAGAGTCACTTTGGAAGCTGGGTCTCTTGAAGGGACAGCCTGGATCTTGAAGCTCCCTGGCTTGGTCTTGGTAAAAGATTCGTGAAGTCTTCGCTTCTCCAAGACAAGGGGCTTGGTGTTAAGGGTTTGGACCAAAGGGGGGTTGTGAGTGGTTGTGGAATGTGAGGTGGCTGCTGCTGTTTTTGCAGGACAGGCGGATTCTGAAGAACAGTTGGAATGTTCCTGTAAAGGAGGAATGTTTGTCAGATTGAGTGGGTCATTAATTGCATGCTAGTAACGCTTTTCAAACTTATACCTCTGAAAAAACCAAAAAACAAATCAAAGGGGGGAAAACAAAGCAAAGCTTAAGAGCAGAAAGCAGGTGGTTTTCCAAGGCAGCAAAATGTTAAGACTGAGCTTACAGCAGTGATAGCAAGCTGAAACGGCCAAGTCAGGTCCCTAAAGTCTAGCATGGCATCACTTTAAGTTTACCAGCACAAACTAGCTTGGAATTGCACTTGTTTATTTAATATAATGCAATTAAAATTATTGAAGGCATACTTTCATAATTTAAGAACATGTGAACAAATGCTTCCTGAAGTCCCCCAATAAACTCGAATAAACTATTCAAAAGTGCATGCAAAGTGTATTCACATTCAAAAAAGAAGCATAATGGAATCCCTCACTGAAGGTCACTTCCTAAGTTAATGAACATTTACATTTTTGTTGACTAGACACCTATTTCTTATTCCTTCACCTTTTCGTTCTATAGAACTACAAACTATTAAGGAATAAACTAATTCCACTGGACAATATTCCTCCCAAATTTATAACAAATATGATTTGTGTCATTTCTACATTTTAAATGTATTTTATTGCCATAGTCAGCCATACTGAAGATAAAATACTAACATATTCTCCTCTAGAAAAGTACGGTAAGAGCCGCCTCAATTGCTAAGCTTTATATTGTGTACAATATTATCAACAACTATTTACATGACTGTGTCACTACTAAACTCCATGTTTCAACATTATACTTTTAAGACAGGGGCTGCTAACCTTTGGCCCTCCAGATGTTGCTAGAATACAATTCCCATCATCCCTGACTACTGGACATGCTGACTGAAGCTTATGAGAGTTAAACAACATCTGGAGGGCTACAAGTTAGCAGCCCCTTCTTAAAGGTATCTGCCAAAAAACATTAGTAGCATTTATACAGTTAACTGGAGTATTTTCAAGACAAATTTACTAGACTGCTCATGATATCAAAGGATATTTTTTAGTGTATATTAAAAAAAAACAAATGAGGTAGTAGGACTTTCAGATGAAAGCTTTAACTGAACCTGCAGCATGCCAATCAAGTGGCCAGCATTCCATCATATAGTATGGCTTTCTGACAAAAGGAGACAGGTCACATGACTACACTGTTCTCCCATTCAATTCTGTTGTTCCAGAAAGTTGCCCTATTATTATTATTTTTTGCAGTATTCTGGAACAGCTCTTTCAGAATATTATCTCAATAATACAATCTGGTGTTGAAGCTACCAGTGAGCATGGACTGGTTCAATATATAATTCCAGAATCCCTTTATCAAGTGTATGTGAGATACAATTTCATTTTTTGCACTCCTCACTGTATTATTCAAGACATGAATAACAGTTCATGGATCTATAATTTAGGATGGTGGGGGCAACACTAAAATATAGCTATTTCTACTGTCTGTTACAATCAGAAGCAGCTCACCTCAATATTCTACAATGATAAACAGTATACTTGGAGTAGTGGGGGAAATTATAAATACCCCAATAACAAACTATTCACAGGAATCATTTTGACACAGAATATGAAACATTCTGTGACACGGAGTATGAAACATACAAGCTTCAACTTGGAGTGGTAAATTCCAATACAAAAGCAGAACCTACAATTAAGCTTCTTTTCTAAAGTGAATACTACATAAACATTTCCTTTAAAAAAATAAAATCTGAATTCAAGTGGGACCAGCACTGGGATAACAGCTTAAAAACTACAATCCATACAACTCACACCTATGATATAAGACTCACATGTAGTTATGCCTAATGATTAAAAGGTAAAAGATTTTATTTATTGCACTATTTTGATTAACATACAGGTTGCAAACTGTAACAGCCCCTACATCTTGACTAATGACCCCATGCATATCTATCATATAAGCCATGCAAATCAGTGCAGGGTTTTTTCCTTAATGTACACACATATTTGGCTATGAGGGTCAAGGTGGCTTTTACTTAGCTATCTTTCAAAAATGATAAAATGGAAATATGAACTCTCATGCAAATTAGGTCAGCTTTAGTTCCTAAATATGTATATTTATTACTAGAGCTTTTGTACTCAGTAAAGCAAGCACATGTGAGCAGAGATTTCAGCACTGTGTGAATCTTTGCCATTCTTAAAAATGGATTTTATTTAGGAGGCATTTAGAGATAGTAAACGTAATGGCCAATGGGAAGCATTTTAGAAGTTAGTAACTTCACAGTGGTTATAAATCAATAGAGGAAGCCATGGGATTGACCTCATCATTTTACATGGTGTTAACAAGTATTTTGGAATTTCAGCCCTCTGGTAAGAAGGCAAGTTTACATGAGAGCCCACATACATGCTGCATTCACCAGTTCTTGATGTATACCTCTGTATACAAGGATTCGACAGCCTTCTGGCCTGCCGCATCTGGAACACAGTGCAAAGCTAAGATTAGAGTAACCTAAACTTGAGGAGAGGAGGGAGAGAAGAAAGAAAGAAAGAAAGAAAGAAAGAAAGAAAGAAAGAAAGAACTGCTGAGAGTCACTAGCTGAGTTATCCCATCACAAAGATTGCACATACAGAGACACACAAATATAGAAAAATCTTTTGGCAGCTTCTCTCACCCAGAACACATTGATTCCCAAACAGAGTCTCTTACTATGCAGTGAAAACCCACTGCAATTACAACAATACTTCTCCTTGCCAAAGAATGAAGCTTGAAACAAGTGATCAATTGTTTTTAACATATGAAGTCATTCCATTTTACAAAGAGGTGTGAATGCTAACTTTTGATGTATTAATGGGAAATATAAGCCATATCTTGCAAAACCTGAACTGCAAAGCATGGCTAGAATATGGATTGCAAGAACATTATAAATTAAAACATGGAATACAAAAGATTCCTGTATTGCAGGGGAATGAACTAGATAGCCCTCGTGGTTCCTTCCAGCTCGACAAATCTAATACTTAGTACCTCTAAACTTGCTATCTGCTGGAAGGTACATCACCACTATCTACAGAGTCCTACAGTTTGTCACTATAGTTAAGATTCAGTTTGGTAATGTTAGAATTGTGAACCAAGCTAGTCACCAATAATGAGGCCAATAATTATCAAAACATTCCATGAAAATCTACATTAAGTTTAGATTACTCACTGCTAAGAGACTGGAGAGCCCAAAAGCTTTCAAAAGGGTTCACCAAAGTAATTTTAAATCAAGGGTTTATTTGGCATCTCAAGTACAAGATTCAGTAAAGATTGTCAAGTAATTTGACAGAGTTCCGATTAATAAAGAACTACAATAATTTTCAAACCCACCAGTTGAACTGTTGGAACATTAAAATAATACTGTGCGGACCCACAACACATATGGATACTGCTAAGATTAGCACTTAATTAAAAAGGCAGGATTCTATGCAACCTGTAATGCATGCAAAGATATTACTCCAGACTTAGGAGGGGGTAGAAGAGCACAAGAAAATGAAAGAGATTGAAATGTACAAGATTCATCACTGCTGAAACAGTAAAGCTTTGTAAAAACATACAGAAGCTGCTGATCTTCCAGGTCCTCGCTGTGCTACTATTGCACCAGAAATTGCTTTAATCCAGCTGTGCATGTCTTCTGGGCTATCTGCCTGAAGAAAAAAGAAAGAAAAACTCTTATCGTGTGAGTGACAATAAACAGATATGCTTCATAAATCTTGTAATCTAAGAATATGACAAGTGTTTTCTATGTTTCTCAATAAAGAAAATTGCAATTTAAAAAAATCTTTAATAAGCTTAGGCTGATATCTAAATACTTATGCATGGTAAGAGATTTATATTACTGATGTAACTACTGACTAATCTCAAGCTTAACAATTACTGAAGTACTGTAGTGACTTCTAAATTTAGTACCTGCTACATAAATAATGAACAAGGAACTTGTGATTGCTTCTGGGGGGGAAGTAACTAACATGTGAACCATGCACGGAAAACAATATTGCAATAAATAAGAGATGCACTACAGTTATAAATTTAGGCCAAATATACATAGAGAGTGGTATCACATCACTTTGGAGATCCAGCAACACAAAAGTAAATTTTCTAAAGGGAAATTAGGCTCTTCCAAGGAATAGGTCAGGTAGTATCTCTGATTGGCAGATCTGGTGTTGTAACTTGAAATGCTCACAGATCAGAACAGCTGGTGTGGTGACCTGCAACTGCTCCACCCCTACCTAGCATTTCAGATCCATTTTCTGTGAGGGAAGTGATACTTGTCAGTGAGCCTGGAATTAAAATCTGGGGCAGGGGGCTATCAAGCTATAACAAATCTAAGGATCAGAGAGCCCAGAGTAAAGAGGACAAAAAAAAATGGTGTAGATTAGACATGGAATGACATAAAAGAATCTAGAAGTAAAGGTGAGAATGAAGCTTGGAGGAAAAGATGGAGAAACAATGAACACAAGTAATAAATGAACTTCACAGTGTTTAAGATCAAGAGGTGCTCTGTGCTCTGGGAGAGGTGAGTACAAGGGATCAGTCAAGAGGCAGGATGGCTAAGAAAGTGGGACAAAGCTGAAAAGGAAGGACCTAAGGAAACAACTAGAGGAAGAGTGATATAATTGAAGAAAAGAGGAGTTGAGGAGAAATAAATACTGGAACCAAAAGTATTGGCTTGGTATCTGAGTTAGACTTTATCTGTTCTCACAATGAATTTCTGCTTTCTCAATCCCTCAGAGCATTAACCTTTTTAATGGTGCAATCCTATGCATGTTTACTCAAATCCCACCCCAAAACAAGTGTTCACAAGATGGCAGCCTAATGGCAGTAGAGCATTGAGAAAGATTCCCTAGAAGACGACTTTAAAAACAAGTGAAGCAAGCATTTGGTTGGATCGTTTAGGTGGCTGTAATAATTTGGGTAGAAGGACTGGCTGGAGAATTGCCTTCAGCTCTCTGGCCAAGTTTCAATCTTATGCCAGCAGACTTCTGTTCTTTCAACAAGACTTTCTCTCCCTCTCTTCTCCCTGTAGCCCTCCATACCGCCACTAATCTGATGCAAATAACCCTTCAACCCTTCAGAGCAGATTTTGGGCCCACAGGAAGAGGGGAAGGCTTGAGGGAGAAGGGGGAATCCACTCCTTCAATACTGTTAGTTCTGCTAGTGGACAGGTACCGTTGGTCATTAGCATTGTTTACAGGACAGGCATGTCTGTTGGTATATTCCATTCTAAACAATTATACACTATTTAACTGCAAGGCAGTACAGTGGTGCCCCGCAAGACGAAATTAATTCGTTCCGCAAGTTTTGTCGTCTAGCGAATTTTTCGTCTTGCGAATTATTATTTAGACAAAGGAAACAAAGCAAGCCCATAGGGAAATTCGTCTTGCGAGGCAACTCGAAAATGGAAAAACCTTTCGTCTAGCGAGTTTTTTGTCTTGCGAGGCATTCGTCTTGCGAGGTACCACTGTATGTATACTGTCAGGCATTAATCAAAGGATTATGTATTTGACCTTTCTAAATGCAATAAATTCATTTTCTTACAGAAAAGTGGTTTCCCATAGACTTACCTGTACATAAAATGTTCGAGAAGTTGTTACAATTTCAAATAGATTGTCTCTCATCATTATATCACTGGGGAAAAAATATGTTTGTGGTCTTTAAACATTTTTACCATTGTCTGACATGCACATTTGTATTTCCAAGCAACAGAACACACATAAATTAGGGAGCTACCTTTGAAAATAATTTAAATTATATCACCATTTGTTGGGGAGTGTATGCACGCGTGCACACACACACACACACACACACACACATTATAATTATTAGTAAGATGCTACCAAGATTCTGTGCCTACTCACTCAACCTTCTTGCTCTAGCAGCTCAAAGTAGTTACACTATACTGCTGAGACACTAGATTTCCCCCTCTCCTCCCACCCCAATTTTACACAAAAGAGAACAAGGCTACATTCTTCAAGTGGAGAAATCATTACCTGACTGGCTGGTGTCCAGGTCAGGCACAGACCTCTAATGTGTAACTGCACTAGAAGACATGAAGCTTCACACCAGTGGCAGCTTCTCAGTATAGCCAGTTGCCCAGGGAAGGACAAACATCAACAGCAAAATGATACACCAGTGAAGTGATGCATGCTATCAGATTCTTCTGCTGCCTTCCCCCTCCCAGGCACAAAGGGGGCCACACTTGAGCCAGGAACCCAAGCTTTCACAAATTTAGCATGACAAAAAGACAACATTATTTAGAAGGCACTCCCAAAACTTTTTTCTTACAATACCATAATGGAAACCACTTTATTGCATCACACACAGCAACCGAAGTTTCATCTTTTGTATTTGTGACTAGCACAGATACAAACACAAAACCACCAGTCTTTAAACTGGTATTTTGCTTCTTCATTTGCAAAGGACTAGAATCCTCAAGTAAAGGAGTATTTCCTGTTATATTAGTAAAGGTAAAGTTAAAGTTACCCCTGCCCCTACGGGCCAGTCTTGACAGACTCTAGGGTTGTGCGCTCATCTCACTCTAGAGGCCGGGAGCCAGCGCTGTCTGCAGACACTTCCGGGTCACGTGGCCAGCGTGACAAGCTGCATCTGGCGAGCCAGCGCAGCACACGGAAACGCCGTTTACCTTCCCGCTGGTAAACGGTCCCTATTTATCTACTTTTACCCCCGCTTTTACCCCCGCTATCTACTTTTACCCCCGCTTTTTACCCCCGCTTTCGAACTGCTAGGTTGGCAGGCGCTGGGACCGAACGACAGGAGCGCACCCCACCACGGGGATTTGAACCGCCGACCATGTGATCGGCAAGTCCTAGGCGCTGAGGTTTTACCCACAGCGCCACCCGCGTCCCACCCGCGTTCCTGTTATATTACTTTTTATTAAATTTCTATTCTTCCCCTCATCCCACAGGAGTCCAGTGTGGCCAACAACAAAGTGGTAAAAGAATACAGTTAAAAATAAAATAATATCTAAAACATATAAAACCAACTTTCTCACCAACAACTTTTTAACACATTGGGATATTGCACCCCCTGCTATTTATATTCCTCCTTTCATTCAGAGACCCACATCTTCTAACATGATATACCAGCAACTCAGTTTAATACAGCTATTTAAGATCTCACTACATCTGTCTAAAAGCATGCCACAGAGGGTGATTTTAGTATAATGGAAAGTGGAGGAGTTTATTAAGACATAATGGAAAATGATGTGCAGGCAGGCTTTCTTTTTCTAACTGAAGGAGAGCATCAACTTTTTAGTTTAACCTCCAGATTTTCACCTTTGTTTACATTCCTGGACCTTATGAACCTCTTTCAGTGGTATAATCCGAAGGGGCTCCTTATCCTGAAAAAACAGATAGTACATCAAAAAAATTTTAGCACATAAGAAACAAGGACTTTAAGACATCCCAAAGGAGGTGCCAAAATGCAAGTTTTATATCCCGGAAGTCAAATAGATGACTTATTTACAAAATCAAATGATTAGCAAATTGATTTCAAATTGCTGACCAGTTAAGGAACTCAGTGATCCAGATAGTTTATTTCCATGTTGATTTCAGATAGAAAGATGTGGCCCAAAATCAATCTAATCACTTAATATAAATGCATTACATTTATATTAAGCATTACACAGCAAGAGCAAGCAAAATTGAGTTTAATTTAGTGACACATTGCCAGCAACTACATTCAGTGAATGTAGTATTAACTAGGTCTCTTTAACTGTAATAGCAATCAATTAGTTGTTTCAATTGCATTGCTTCCTGCTCTGGCTCCTTTGGGAGGCATGATGGTGTAATAAATAAGGAAACAATACAAAGCTTTGAAAAATAAACCAAATATCCTTAGAACTAATCATTATGAAGTTGGCCAAGTTGCATCTGTTTTGAAAATAAATTATTTTGAGCTGCATAGGCAGTGTGGTGCTCTCCAGATATTATTGAACTTCAACTCCCATCAACCCTGACCACTGGTCACAGTGGCTGGGGATGAGTGAAGTTACAGTCCAACAAGTCTCTGAAAGTGACAGTGATATTGGCCACTCCTAAACTAAAGACTGTCCTGGAGCTGTTTGTTTGAAGCAACCACTGGCCCATCACAAAAAAACCACCTTTGGGGGGGAGGTAGTGGAGAGATAACTGCAGACATTCTTGAATGGTAAGGGATGGGGAAGTGGTTTTAATCAGCAGGCCAGATCCTTATCTCCCCATCTCCCCTGTAGGGCAAGATCTGAAGTGGGTGAGGCTGCCCACCTATCACCAAACACCACAACCTGGTTAGGCAACATGGCGCTTTGTCAGGACTTCAAAATGTTAGGAGATTTAAGGTACAGTGCCATCAGTATATTGATTACTCTCAGCTATATTTCTCCAAAACAACTAAGTCAGGAGAAGTCACACAGGCCATGGAGCAGTGCCGGAATGTCATGGTGGGCTAGATGAGAGAAAATAATATGAGCTTGAATCCTGACAAGTTTTAGCTGTTAGTACATAAAGCCCTAAACAGCTTGGAAGCAGTTTAGTAGAAAAATGTGCCTACCGTACTCAAACACTTTAATCTGCAGAGTTTCCGCTTTTACAAGTGCCATACAGGTTCTGCATCTGTTAGGAGTCTCTGTCTCTCTCATTGTCTCTCACCTTTAGAACTCCCTCCTTAAGCAGGCATCCTCATTATTTTAGTCACCTGCTCAAAACATTTTTTAAAAACCCAAGTCTATCTAGATATAAATTTCAGTATTTGCTTTTGAAGTTTTGCTGGTTTTATCTGTATATTACTGATAATTGCTTTATATTGTTTTATGCATACTGTTTGGATTATTTATTTATTTATTTATTTATTTCTAAATAAATATCTGGAGGGCACCATGTTGAGTACTCTGAATTAAGTGGAAAACCTATTTAAATTAATGATATAAAATCAACCCTTTATGGTGATTTAATTTCTTTTTTAACATGACTACAAAAAACATTAACCAAAGCAAGAAGGGGAGTAAAAATATATGGGAAAGAACACAGTTCTGTTTACTCACACAAGAAATTCGATAGCAGAGCCCAGCATTTGATATGAGATTTGTACACAGATATTTTATCATGCAGTAAGGAACCCGCTTTCTCTTCAGTATGTGAAGTATTAAGTATGGTATCCTAGGGACTATATCAATTTCAAGTTGATGCATGTTAACTTTATAACCACGTTGATAACAAAGGTCAGGAAGATTGCTAGCAAACAATCTTTACATTTTAATCTTTACATGCATGCTGATTAGGTTATTTATAGTGGACAGCACAGTACAGCAATATCACTAAGTTGACATGTTCATATTTAATTTAAAAATAATTAGTAATGACTTCTGAATTAGTTGTAAAGATCATGAACTTTCTGATACCACTGAGCAGCTTAACATCATCAGTAGCACACTATATGTGAATACAATTTAGGGGAAACTTCTAAAATTACAGAAGGAGTTCAGTAAATGAATAGGTAAAATGTTCAAAGGTTTACATTGCTTGCTTGCTTGCAGTTTGAGTAATATGATGAATTACATTGCTTTCTTTTTCTGAAACCATACAATTTGACATCCTTCATCTGCCTTTTTTCATGCGCCATCATGTGGTTATTGAAAGGAAAGCAAAAAGCATACTTATTTGGAGGAAAAGCCTCATATAAAGTTAATACAGTAAAGTAACATTTCACACCTTCTCCACATACAACACCAAATAAGCTTCTTTGCACTATCAAATATTAATGACTGCTAGGAATTTTAAGGATCAGATTAATTAAAGTGACATATACAGCAAGAATTAAGACCAAACATTTTTGTATCACATTTCATTCTCTTCAAGAGCATGCATTGCTGTAGATGGAATCTTACTTGAGCTAAGCAACTCAATTTTCTTTCCTCCCATGCTCTTAATAAACGCAACATAGTTTGTATTTCACTTAACAATTACTATTTTAATGGAAGATAGCTTTCATCATAAAACTAAAGCTGTGAAGCACCCACAATATCTTCTTAATAGTTATCAAAAATATTGTTCAACTTGAAAATTATGAACTTCTTTAGACAACTGATTGGCTAGCCACATAGTTTCTACCATCAGTAGCCTATAGATATGGAAGTGAATTCACCTTCAACACAGCAGATAACCAGTGGTGCTTGTTTCCCCACTCTCGAGAAATTGACTTGTGGTAAAAGCCAGTGATCCATGATGAAATAAGATTACTGAATTTAGAAGTTAGCTTTGGGTTAATCAACTGATAACTGCAAAAGACAGAAAGCTCTTAAGTTGATAGAATTGCTTTTCTGGAAGGCAACACTGGAAGATGGTTATTGATCTTGGAACCAGGAGCAAGTCCTGAGAAGGGATGGAGAGGTGTCTTTCTAATGCCAGATTCAAGTGCTGCCCAATGTGATGCTTCAAGTAGCTTTTTAAACTTCCCTCAACAATCTTTTTAAAAGTTGATAATGCATCATTGGGAAACTGCTGTTACAAGCATACCAGCCTACATGTATAAGAAGGATGCATCTTAAATCAAAACTTTAATTCTTAACTTGGAATGGAGAAAGTATGCATAGCAACAGGAGAAAATGGAAAGAGGTTATTGCTTTGCTTAGAGATGTACAACTATTATATATGAGAGGCACAAATAATTCAGAGGATAAGGGCCAATAATGGTCAAAGGATGGGAAAGGGATGGACTAATTATTAATTCCACTATCAGATTTTCAGCACTCAGCATTATAGCATGATCCAACTACATACAATAGCCATACAGGCTCTGTCAACTTACAAAAATATGTATAAGAGGAATTACGTCCAAGTCACATTTCCAATAAAACTAGTTTCCCATCAGAAAATTGAAGCACAACAATTATGCATTATCATGCGTGTACAAAACATGTTTTCAAAAGTTAATCTGACACACACAATTGGACACCTACCAGTTCAGATTTAAAGTATCCTATCGTGTTTTCATCCAGCTGGAAATACCTTCTTTTCCAGTTCTTCATCTATGTAAAGTAAAATAATAATAATAAAAAATAAACATAAACATAATTCCAGTCTAGGGACCATCAAACAGTTTATTCATGGGAGTCTTAATATCCAGGCCATATTTTTTAGCATAGCTTGTAACATTTGGGGAAGAGTTGTCTCTGTTTTCATTTGCTGAGAACGGTTCTGAATAGGGGAGGAAAATACAACTAGAACTTGAGGCAACTGAAAGTGAGTCTTTCCACCATGTCTAGAAGTGACTGAAAGTATTTTCAATTCTCCTTTTCCCCAAAAGATGCAGTTACATATGGAGCAATTGATAGCTATCAAATAATCAACTTTTTTAACAAGAGCCAGCAAATCACAAGTTGCCCTCTAAGTTGGGAAAGGTTTTGATTTCTCTTTCTGGTTACTCCAAGCAAGATGACAGAGCCAAACTGCAGCTGCCCATCTACTCCAGCTGATGTTACTTCCAGCAATCTTTTACCAATGGGTCAATTCCAAACAATAGTCAAAGTGAAGGCTGCTTCTAATTGTATTGTTGAGGCAGCTTGATACTGTTTCCATACTATGGCTGCTCCATCTCATATACACCAGTTCATGATGTAAACTGGCCCCTACTGCCTTTTTTTTCTTTTTTCCTCAGTGTTGCTATAGTGCTGTATCGGTAGTGGATGGTCTAACATGGTGAGTCTGATGTATACTAACGGCTTAAAATACAGAGGAAAATTTAAATAGACAGAGTGGGGCCATACTTTTATTAACATTCTTCTGATCTTGTGTCTGAGCAAATGCAGCCAGGCTTTATTTAATAATTAATTAATTACATAAAACAGTTTCCCTCTAATGGGATTCTGAGCCTGTAAACAAAAACCTTTTTCTTAAAGTGCAAACAAAATCATTCAGTTAAGTTAATTTCTCTTTAAAAATCATTACTAAATCACATGCTACCGCAGTGGTGGGGAATTGAATCTGGCCAGTGGACCAGATCTCTATCCCCCTGACTGCTTGCAGGCAAAATCTGACAAGTGAGTGGATCAGCTATCTGTTACATCACATGGCATCCGGCGATGATGCACTCTGATGTCCACACAATAACTGGGACTGCCACAAAGGGTATGAAAAGTGCCCTGCAGGGTGCTTTGAAGTATAGTGGTACCTCAAACAGCTCTGTTCTCAAATGTTTCGTCTCCAGAATGCCGAAAACCCAGAAGTGCTCCTGTTTTCGAACGCTCCTTGGAACATGAACTTCCGAAGTGGCTTCCCCTGTGCAGAAACCTAGCTGTCAGCCAATCGAAAGCCATGCCTCGGAACTCAAATATTTTGGAAGTTGAACGGTCTTCCGGAATGGATTATGTTCGGTTTCTGAGATACCACTGTACTTATCAGTTGGTCGTTGCTCCTTCAAAGTGCTGAGCAGGGTTCTTTGCAAGGAGAAGGGGGCTTACAAAGAGCCCTGCTCGGTGCCAACTTCAAGGTTTTCTTCCTACTAAGATTAGCTGTACGCAGCCAATCCCTGCTGTCTTGCCCTCCCTCTCAACTGGCTGGTGGTGACAGAAAGCCTTCTTTGTCATTACATAATTGTGAGCACACTTTAAGGCTCTCACTTGTACACTGTCAACCACCATCTCCACCTGCTCCTCACCTGACATCACATGTGACATCAGGAATAGGACAGAAGGCCATGGTTTGAGGGAAATGGCTTTAAGGGTCAAACCAGAACCCACGTGGGTCCTAATATGGCCCAAAGGCCAGAGGCTCACCACCTGGGATGCTCCTAAATCTCAGGGTCTGGAAGTTACCAAAGAGCCCTGGAGTTTCCCCTCTTTCCCAAATAATTTTAACCAGATTCATTCCATTGGCAAAAAAAACTCTCTTGCTTTAGCATCATATAGAACAATGAGACATTAACATCAGAAATGCATCTTAGTCACTTACCACTGCTCCTTGTTTAACACAGTAGCCAGCTTTAATCACAGCATTATCTGGGGGGTGCTTAGCAGAAAAATAAGGAAGGTGGCTTTGGGACCGTTTCAAGTAGTTTTTATCACCTTCACCACATTCATTTACCTCTTCTTTCTAGAAATAAAACACGACTACTTAATGGTAAGGTCTAAAATTCATCATCAACCCCTCCACTACTTTCCCCTAACATCATTCCAGATTAGAAATTCCCTTTTATTAGACAAATTCAAGTTTTGAATTTGGTGCACCACTAAATACATATTTTCAATTTATCAGGGCCTTTATAAACTTGTGTCTCTACGTCACCTCAGGTTTGGCATGTAGCTCATCACACATTCAGGATAAATAATATATATAAACCAGTAAGCTTCTTCTACAAATTTGGTAATAGCCCCACCTCCCAAATCTGTCAACTATTTCCAACTATCTATAAAAACAAAGGTGGTTTTTTGGGGGGTGTTCCCTATATTTTTCAAGAGCCAGGCCAGTACAAAGTTTACTAAATCTAAGTTTCATATTGATTATGCTGTGCAGGAAATTCCTGATTCTAATCAAGCTTCCCTCCCTTTACTGGAGGCAACTTAAGGATCCAATATTATAAAAGGATGTCACATAGAGAATGGGGAGAAGGCGTTTTCTGCTGTCCGAGAACGGACCGCCAATGATCCAAACTACAAGAAAGATTCACTAACACTAGAGAACTTCCTACAGTAAGACTGTCGCGTGGAATTTCTGCAGGGTGTGTGGAGTCTCTTCTTGATCTAGCAGAGCTTGACACCATATGTCAGGATGCTGAGGTGTTTCTGCTTGGCAGGGGGTTGGACCGAGGCCCTTGTGGTCTCTCAAGCCTATGATTCTATGATCTATGAATCACTTGAATTATATGCTATTAAGCTGCCCAGGTTATTATTCACTTGCTAAAAGTAAATGTTGAATCATCACTATGCTAGTGTGATTACTACAGGCCCAAACATCTTGCAAATCTACCATCCACAAAACCCAGACTCAAATCCCTAGCTTAGAACTAAATACCCAACAACTGCAAATAGTAGCAACTCATTCTGCAACAAGGAGTTTGTAAAAACAGGTTTCCCTCCACTTCAAAAAGCATTTTCATATAGGTGTGTTATTATATATAAATACAATGTATACATTATCACACAAACATATACATACATACATGCACATACCTACATTTAAACATAGTTTTAAGCAAAATAAAACTGAAAATAATATTTTGATTCTAAGTTAAGTAGTCCCATATACACCCTGAATACATATACAGTCATACCTTGGATCTCGAATGCCTTGGCTCCCAAACAAATCGGCTCCCAAACGATCGAAAACCAGAAGTGAGTGTTCCAGTTTTTGAATGTTATTTCGGAAGCCGAACATCTGACTGGGCTTTGGTGGCTTCCGATTGGCTGCAGGAGCTTCCTATAGCCAATCAGAAGCCGCGCTTTGGTTTTCGAATGTTTTGGAAGTCGAATGGACTTCCAGAACGGATTCCGTTCAACATCCAAGGTACAACTGTCCAAAATTCCTGCATATGAAGACTAGCCTTCTCATTTCAATAGAAAAAGCATGTCTATACATGCACAGCAATGTACGCATTTATCACAATAGAAGAGGCAACATTTGGGGGCAATAGAAATCCCATGCTCCAAGCAATCACTCAACTGGTGGAATAGATGGCCAATAACTAAATACTTCTGATAATTAGAAAAGTTGTTATAAAAGGGCACACTGCTACCTGAGTAGGGGTTATTATAGGAACACCACCAACAATCTCTGTCCTGTAAGACATCTGCTTCTTTAACCCCACATTTTCAGTGTGACGTGTTGAATTATCAGTGTGAGACTGTGAATCAGTTTGCTTTGGTACCTGAAAATAATAAGCATTATAAACAAGGGAGCAAGCAAAAACCATTCTTAGTATAACTATATATAGTTATATATCGCTTCAAACATCCCAGAGGCATTCAAAAACAAGTTACAATAATACAAAATGTGTAAGCTATTCAATTAAACAATATCAACATAAGATACTAGAAAGTGTTAATCCAAAAATATATATATATCTAAAAACAATACGAAATATCCACCTGCTCCATACAGGAAAAATAGATAAATATTTGTAGAAATTATATGCTTTGATTTATTGACCTGCATTCTCCAAGTTCGAGACATTCAAAAGTAGGAATTTGATTTCTGTTTCTAGTTCCTTTTGCAGTGTCCCTTCCTTTCTACACCATCTCAATTTTGGCCATAATGTTTTACTAGTTATGACCATTTAAAAAAATATATTTTATTTTTGGAGGCAGGGTAAGCACTAGATCTACCTGAAAATGACATAGAAAACCAAACATATTGTTGCTGTGTTTGTCCAAGTATAGTGGAAGTCTATGTAGAATGACTCTACCATGCACAAATAATTACTTACTGTGATTTTGGTAGCTTTGTTCAGGACATTCACCCATTCAACTAAGTCTTGCTGATCATTGGCTTGTAGGAAGTATTTCCTCATCCCTGCATTCATGACTGTTAAAAGACAGGAGGAAGGGACTTCATTAACTTAAAAAGACCCTATGTTGTTCTTTTTCTAGGCATTGTAACAAAGCTCAAAGTCAAACTGGGTACATTACTCCTTATCCCAAAGCTATAAAACCCAAGTTCAATGCTTTAATAGCATATACTCATCTGTCTTAAATAACTCTGTTTTGTTTATATATAGTTCTAGATGCAGGTGGTGGGGAGTGATGCATGTGGTCTTGGTTCTCCTATCTCCTAACACACACACCCCTTCTCTAACTTTCCAAATAAGTACTGACCCCAACACCCTTGCTGAACCAACACACCTGTATGATGGGAGGGGGAAATACAGAAAGAATAATCCTATTCTGGTTTGAAAACACCAGAAGTAATTTGTCCTTTTAAACAGACTTTTATTTATAAAAATGCATAGGACCCAACACTTACAATAGGTGCTTCAAATCTAAAATTAGTGTTTAAATGCTGTTGAGGTAGAAGGAAAAACCAACAGGACTTTTAAAGCAAGAACATGTGTATGCCATATCCTGATATACACAGAATTTATTTATTTTTTTGTTTTGTTATGTTTTTTTAGGGGGGGGGAGCCTACAGCACCCAGTATTCCCAGGCGGTCTCCCAGCCAAGTACTGACCAGGCCTGAGCCTGCTTAGCTTCCAAGATCAGACGAGATCGGGCGTGTTCAGGAAAGTATGGCCGTAGACACAGAATTTATATGAATGAACAAGCAACATCCGCAGAGCTGGTTTCTGCCATTTTTATTGCATATTTAAATCTGCAAGTAATTTCCTAGTGATTGGTAATCATATGGATTCTCTTAGCTAGCGCTATATTGTCACAATTCCTTTGTGTGTGTAACAGAGTACAGAAAAAGCATTAGAGCTCAAATAACCCACACAAAGACTGTTCCTTTATATTAAATATTTGAGAATCTTTTTGCCACATGGCCACCTCCTTTCATCATGTCATGAAGTGTAAGCAACACATACAGGAAGCTACTTGTCAGGAGTACTCTGATATGCAAGGAGGTTATGTTTACTATGCTTATGTAGTAGATCATAATTCTGAACAAACAGAAAGATAAGTAAAAATGGCCTCACCACATAGTCAGATACTTAGTGCTATTGGGATCCCACAGTTGGACATAGCCTATGGCAACACTACAAGCAATAGCTCCATAAGAAGCCATGCCTGCAGCCATTCTTATAATTTGTTGCATCTGCTAACATGGCCATCTAGGCTTTGCTTAATCACCAGATGCATGTTAAACTCACTGCAAATAACAAATTAGCAGGCATTGTTAATACCGATGTGCATTAAAACATGACTCTCGTTCTTTCTGTTTTTGCTGTATAAAGTCCAGTGTATATAATGGTCCACAACATGAGAAAGGGAAAAAAATAAATATTTTACAACATATGAAGTGTTGATTAATTTTGTCAAAACAAATACAGAAATAATGTTTTAATTATCCAATTATTAAATATACCATTGGTAACTGCCACTTGTCGCTGTATGATCAACAATTTTGCTAATTTAGATACTGCCAATATCTAATCTATAAAAAGGAATAACTTTTCTTCTTTAAATTAGAAGGAAACCTTTAAAATGAATTAACTTGAATTCCAAATAGATATTTCCACTTGTATTTGATAAGAAATGGGCAGAACATATCCTGATTGCAGTTAACAACAACAACAACATTTATGCAGTCTACTACAACTTACCAAAGCAGAATTCTGCCTTTGGCCTCAGTTTAGTTGCATCACTAACCTAAAAAAAATGACCGTTATATGCATTACCATAATAAAAATTATGATGTACAACATAAAAATTCCTTACAATACACCTTGATTTGTGCGTTGATTACAAACACACATTACACTAGTACACAGGTCCACATAAAACACCAGTGAGCTATGTCATCTCTACAAAGGACTCTAGAAATGGAGTATTTCTGTGGTAAAGGTAACATGCAAAGGGTGGGGCCTGCAAAGAATGGAAACACATGTAATATTATCCAAACTGAACTTATTCTTTACTTTAACATATCAATCCTACCATGGCAGATTCGGGGGGGGGGGCAATTTTCTTTACTGATCGGCAAAGAGGCTAGTAGCCTGTGTTGCCATGCTGCCCACCAAGCATAGGAATTCCTTTCTTCTGCTTCCTTAGCAGGCTAGGAAAAAACTTTGCAGGCAAGTAATTTTGTGGGCTTACTGATATGACTGAAAAAATGGCATTTATTATTATTTCATTTGTCTACCACTCTTCATAAAAATCAAAGAGCAGTTTATACAATAAACATGAAAATATAATAATAAACAAATTAACAAGCCCACATAAGGCACAGATATAAACATGAAAAAAGTATTTTTTTTTGTATCAGCATTTTCCTTAATGTATTAAAGCTCCCAACTTCCAAAAAAACAGATAGTGGCTTTTCAACTTTTTTTCAACTCATTTTTCACATACTGGTTTCTTCCTTGGTATTGTGACAAATGTTTGTGCAGTTTGTGTAGTGAGAAAGACTGAGAAATCCAAAACAGGCTGGAAGCAAGGGAATCGGAGATCTTTAGAGTAAAGGCCTTACCAGTATGTACAAGGAGCTAAGAACTTGGCATTTCTGCACTAAGTATTACAATGTTTCATGTTTCACAACATTTAAATTTATTTTTCCAATATTTACCCAGAAGGTAGTTTCTTTTTAATATTGCACTGAAATGCAGCAAAAATGCTTCCAGACATATTAATACAGCCTTTGAATAGTAAATAAGTGATTTGAAGTAGATGTAATGAATTCATTTATTCCCTATTGCCTGCTTTTTTTCCCTAAGGATATTTACCAAGTTGTAAAACTACCGTTCTTTTCTCTCTATAACACGCAGATTTTTTCTCCTAAAAAGTAAGGGGAAATGTCTGTGCGTGTTATTGAGCGAATGTGTGGTCCCTGGAGCCCACTGGCCCGAGCGCAGGGGCAAAAATCAGGCAAAAATCCAATTGCGCTGGTCAGGGAGGAGGGAGCTCCGTGAGAGAGGAAGCTGTTGCTTTCCTGCATTCTGCCTCAGGGTCTTACTGCCCACCCGTCTCTGTTTCGGTTGCTGTTTGCTCAAACGGAACAAAGAGCAGGCAAATCCCCTCCCCTCCAGGCAAGCAGAGGGGAAAGGAAAGGATCGCGTCCTTCCTTCTAATTCCTCTCCGTGCTCCGGTGCTGCTGCGTCCAGGGAAGCATTTTAGGGACTCGCAGGCAGCAGGAAAACATGCAGGTGGGAGAGAGGGAGGGAGGGAGGGAGGGAGGGAGGGAGGGAGAGAGAGAGAAAGAGAGAGAGAGGGCTGGCTTGGGTAGGTGTGGGGGAAAACTTTTCCGCCACACCTTTCCTTTCCTCCCTCCTGTTAAACCCCTCTCCGGCATTCTTAGCCAGCTGCTTCTCTGCACACCCCTCTCTTGCTCCTTGTCCCTTCTGTGTTTTTCCTTCCCTCCCCACTTAAAACGTGGTTACAAAGCACGGATCCACATGGATCCTCAGGATCTTTGCATTGGGTCACCCCAAATTCACCATCAGATCACATAGCATGTCCATGGCTACAGCCTGCACCAAAAAAATCACGCACCCACTATTGCCTGGGGCTGCAATGGTGCAAAAACGTGGTTACAAAGCACAGATCCGCAGGGATTCTCAGGATTTTTGCATTGGGCTACCCCAAACTCACCATCAGATCACATGTCTGTGGCCACAGCATGAGGCACAAAAATGATACATCCACTGTTTCATTCAGAATCCCCCCCCCCCGTTTTCCTCCTCTAAAAACGATGTGCGTGTTATGGTCAGGTGCACGTTATAGAGCGAAAAATACGGTATAGAAGATATATCAGAGACTAAAAACAAACATTAAATGCTTGTTTTGTGTACTGAGGTCTTTTCCACAAAGAACCCCACCCCCAAAGTAAATAAGATTATAAATAGTCTGACTGTGGGATACAAATACTCAAAACACAATTATATCAAAGCTGTCCACACACTCTGCATTCTCTTCCCATCATACTAGTTTCACTCATACTCCAGGAGACAATTTAAGAAGCTTTCATCTACATTATTTACTTTCAGAGAAAATACTGTGGCTGAATTCAGACATTAACAATAAACTATGACCTAGTCCTACATGAATGAGCCTAAGACTCATAGGCTCATGGACTCCACTCTCCTCTGGAGTGGCTGCAAGGAGAAAAGCAGCAGCAGACTTTAGAACAACTGATTGGCAGTACATCAATATCTTGAAAACCCATGTAGTTTTTACTATGGTTCACCAAAACAAGCCAACTATAAACAGGGGTTTATTGGCTTGTTCAGAAACCATAAATAAAAATGGGCTCAACATGACACATGCACGTGTACAAACACTACCCAATCAGATAAAATGTTGATTTGTAGTAATAAAAATTATTGTGAGCATAAAGGACTGCAACTAGTTTCAGAATTCTGACTTTGCATTCTTCCTTTCCAATGTTCTCAGAAACAATAGCCAAAATCAAGACACATATTTACTGGCTACATATTAAAGAAGTTACTCACATCTCAAATCCTTTCAAAGTGTGTTATGAATTTGGAAATTCAATCTTTAGAGGAACACATACATACCTTTGAAATGTAGGTAAGTTTAATGGCTCCAACTGGCGGAGATCCAGAGGGAAGGTTCTGTAGTCAAGAAAATAGTTTTTATTTTATTGTGCAGTGCTATCAATTAAGACAATATAAGCCCAAATTTTCAAACCATCACATTAAAAAAAACACACATTCAAAAGATAGAATATTTTTCTAACATGTTCTTATCTATTTGATCTTTATTAGAAAGATCACCCTCCAACATGGAGGGAGGAGCATTGGCCCCAGTCCCATGAGGTGCTGGGGTGAAACCGCCAACGCTCCTACCACTGTCAGCACCTGGCACAGGGACGAAGAGGCAGCTGGAGAAGGAAGGTAAAGAGCTGGGCGGCAGGCAAGTTCCACCCATGATATACTGCTGGGTGAAGGCACCATCATGCTCTGGTCCTCAAACCAATCCTGGACGATGTATTGATACATCGCCCAGGCCTACTAGCAAGTAGACATGCACACCAAATACAGCTTTCAGAAAAGCTCTGAGGCTTTGTTCAAAAGCTTGAAATCCACATAGAACAAAATATTCTAAGAACTAGTAATTGCAATTCCTTTTTCATTCTTCCCTCTGTGTTATACCCAATTACGCCAGCCAGCTTAATCCTGCTTGTTTTTGGAAACAACTTCCTTAATTGCACTTGTTTCATGAATCTGAACATTCCACCTCCTCCTATATTTTAGCTTATTTTATTTTATTCTTAATTTAAGCAGGTTTTTCTTCTGGCTGATGCTTTTACCCTTTCTAGATTTCTCTAATTTGAAAATAATCCTGGCAACCTGTCTGAAGGGTGGGGTAGAAATCTCTATAACGTAATTATCCGGCCCAGCAGCACCTTCTGTGTAACAGAATGCTGCTACCATTGTGTTTTGTTATTTTAAAATAAACTCCTACACTAAAACAGCTTGCTAACATCAGTTTAAAGGCTTAGCCTTAGCAAAACTAGTCTCCGACTGTCTCTTGATTATTACAATGTATTTCAGGTGCTGTGATTCATATACACACTAACACACACCCAAATCGAAGTACAGTGGTACCCCGCAAGACGAATGCCTCGCAAGACGGAAAACCCGCAAGACGAAAGGGTTTTCTGTTTTGGAGGCGCTTCGCAAGACGAATTTCCCTATGGGCTTGCATCGCAAGACGAAAGCCCATAGGGAAATGCTGGCGGTCGGGAGCAAAGACTTTCGCCCACAGCCGGCCTTCAGAAGAGGACCTCTTCTGAAGGCCGGCGGGGGGCAAAAATCTTTGCTCCCCCCCGCCTGCCTTCCCCCGCCTGCCCGGGGCGATCTTAAAATGCTGGCGGCGGGAGCGAAGCGTTCGCTGCCGACCCCCAGCATTTTAAAATCTCCAAGGGACAGCAGAGAAGTCTCTGTCCCGGGGAGATTTTAAAATGCTGGGGGTCGGGAGCGAAGCGTTAGCTGCCGACCCCCAGCATTTTAAAATCTCCCCCTGTCCCGGGGAGATTTTAAAATGCTGGGGGTCGGGAGCGAAGCGTTCACTGCCGACCCCCAGCATTTTAAAATCTCCCCGTGTCCCGGGGAGGTTTTAAAATGCTGGGGGTCGGGAGCGAAGCGCTGCCGACTCCCAGCATTTTAAAATCTCCCCGTGTCCCGGGAAGGTTTTAAAATGCTGGGGGTCGGGAGCGAAGCGTTAGCTGCCGACCCCCAGCATTTTAAAATCTCCCCGTGTCCCGGGAAGGTTTTAAAATGCTGGGGGTCGGGAGCGAAGCGTTCGCTGCCGACCCCCAGCATTTTAAAATCTCCCCGTGTCCCGGGGAGGTTTTAAAATGCTGGGGGTCGGGAGCGAAGCGCTGCCGACCCCCTGCATTTTAAAATCTCCCCGTGTCCCGGGAAGGTTTTAAAATGCTGGGGGTCGGGAGCGAAGCGCTGCCAACCCCCAGCATTTTAAAATCTCCCCGTGTCCCGGGAAGGTTTTAAAATGCTGGGGGTCGGGAGCGAAGCGCTCCCGACCCCCAGCATTTTAAAACGCTGTTCCGAAGGGGGGGGTGGGGACACCTGCCCCAGCCGCCCCACTTCGGAAAGCTGTTCCGAAGTGGGGAGGGGGGCGGGGACACCTGCCCCAGCCGCCCCACTTCGGAAAGCTGTTCCGAAGCGGGGAGGGGGGGCGGGGACACCTGCCCCAGCCGCCCCACTTCGGAAAGCTGTTCCGAAGCGGGGAGGGGGGCGGGGACACCTGCCCCAGCCGCCCCACTTCGGAAAGCTGTTCCGAAGCGGGGAGGGGGGGCGGGGACACCTGCCCCAGCCGCCCCACTTCGGAAAGCTGTTCCGAAGCGGGGAGGGGGGGCGGGGACACCTGCCCCAGCCGCCCCACTTCGGAAAGCTGTTCCGAAGCGGGGAGGGGGGGCGGGGAAACCTGCCCCAGCCGCCCCACTTCGGAAAGCTGTTCCGAAGAGGGGAGGGGGGGCGGGGACACCTGCCCCAGCCGCCCCACTTCGGAAAGCTGTTCCGAAGCGGGGAGGGGGGGCGGGGACATCTGCCCCAGCCGCCCCACTTCGGAAAGCTGTTCCGAAGGGGGGAGGGGGGCGGGGACACCTGCCCCAGCCGCCCCACTTCGGAAAGCTGTTCCGAAGTGGGGGGGGGCGGGGACACCTGCCCCAGCCGCCCCACTTCGGAAAGCTGTTCCGAAGTGGGGAGGGGGGGCGGGGACACCTGCCCCAGCCGCCCCACTTCGGAAAGCTGTTCCGAAGCGGGGCGGGGGGCGGGAACACCTTCTGAAGGCGGGCAAGGGGCGAAAGTCTTTGTCCCCCTGCCTGCCTTCCCAGGGGCTTTTAAATCGCCCCGGACAGCGGAGAAGTCCTCCGCTGTCCCAGGGTTTTTTAAAATGCTGGGGGTGGGAAGAAAAGCCCTTGTCCCCCCCCCCCAGCCTTCAGAAGAGGTCCGGGGACAGACTGTCCCCGGACCTGGTCTGAAGGCGGTTTCCCTAGGAACGCATTAATTGATTTTCAATGCATTCCTATGGGAAACCGTGCATCGCAAGACGAAAAAACCGCAAGACGAAGAGACTTGCGGAACGAATTAATTTCGTCTTGCGAGGCACCACTGTACTGTTGCCACATAAATCAGGTGTCTCAAATTTAGGACCAAATGGTATTTTGCATCTTTTGCAGAAGTGCTCCACTGATTTCCATGAGTTTTCTCATGGGGCTCAATATGGTTAATAACTCTTTCATTCTGATTGAATCCAGTGAAATCCAAAGATTCTTACAAAATGGGCACAATGGCTCAGCCCTTAAATTGACACATGTCAAATGTACCTAAGTAACCAGGTAAACTTCCTTTGTTTTCACCCAGACACCATCTGGCACTGAGCCAGCCAATTCTTTATTTTCAAGTAAGTTTGAAGTTGAAAACTAGAAGTGTGAAAATCCTGACAATACCAACAAACTTGTCTTTCTTTTCTAGATTACAGTGGTACCTTGGGTTAAGAACTTAATTTGTTCTGGAGGTCCGTTCTTAACCTGAAACTGTTCTTAACCTGAGGTACCATTTTAGCTAATGGGGGCTGCCGCTGCACCGCCACCGCGCGATTTCTGTTCTCATCCTGAAGCAAAGTTCTTAACCCAAGGTACTATTTCTGGGTTAGCAGAGTCTGTAACCTGAAGCATCTGTAACCTGAAGCGTCTGTAACCCGAGGTACCACTGTACAGCCTATAAACCTAGTCAAACAACTGCCCAAGAGCCACTCTGAAAAGGAAGTTGGGGTTGGGTGGCCAAAGCACCACCACTGAAATGCTTGCCAAGATCTATAAACAAGTCTACTTCCCATTCCACCTTTTGTCTCTTGGATGTCAACCGTGGACTGGATGACAAACCTCAGGTACAAATTTAGCCCAGAACCTGCCACCTGCTGACCATCAGCATTCAGTCACAGTCTTCACACCTCAATTATTTGGGTCTCACTTTTATCTTCAAACAAATGTATCGAGGACCGTAGCCCAAGGTATCCAAATTTCAAATGGTAAATCATTTGACCCATGAAGATGGAATCAAAGGGCAAAATGAGAATTTAACAGAATATGTATCTGCACAAAGTTGAAAGGCACGTCAATACTTGCAGAATTTTTCCTTGAAATCTTCCAGCTCAATTCAATCTCATATTATTAAAAAGCACACACATTTAAAAGTATCCTGAAATGTTTTTACCTGTGGATTATCCATGTACCATACCAAATTATCTTCTCTTGTGTCCAATATGAAGTATCTCCGCAAAAACTTTCCACTATTTTCATTTTCTTCAATGTCTAGAAAACCACAAATACGATTTTGACGATCCACATAAGGCATTTCTGAATTTGGACATTACACTGCAAAACAAAGAGTAGCAAATGTTTGCTTTACTAGCTGCACTTAATCAATACTGTTTCATTACTAGTTTCATCGCTTATTTTAGGAAAAGGTGATACTTAAATAAGCAAGCGGGGGGGGGGGGGAATCCTCACTGAACTTTATAAAAAACAAAATAACATTGTGATTCACTAAACATTGCCCCAAACACTGTTTTTCATGAGAGCACAGCAAGAGATTCCAAAATAGATGTGATACTTGAGAATATTTCCATATTGGCCCGAATATAAGCTACACCTGAATATAAGCCACACCTTTAAAATTAATTTGGGGGGGGGAGAGAAAAAAATAAAAAATACCCGAATATAAGCTGCTCCATTCCTCGCTGCTCCTGGCCGGGGGGGGGGGGCTGCACTGCACTGCTGGCTGCCTTTCCGCTTTCTCGCTCTCTCCCTTCCTGGCCTTGGGGGAGAGGATGGGGGACTATGCGCAGGGCAGGCGCCCCTTTGCCGGGCTTCTGGTGCTCTTTGCCCAGTGCTCCTGGCTGCATACCGTAAGGTCACGAATATTAGACACACTTTAACTTTTCCTGGTCAGAATTTGGGGGGAAAGTGAGGCTTATATTCAGGCCAATACGGTATTACACTCAGAAGCCTGAATAATGTTAAAACTTACAGTCTTCACATAATTAGAATTGCATGCTTCAAGTGCTACCAAGACCCTTTCAACCAAGGTATATAAAAGAACAATAGTGGATTTATTCAGTTTCTAGAATATATTAATTATTAAGATATAATTGTGCTAAATCATTCTTTTAAAAAATATGCTGGGGTTTAAACCTTTTCCACAAGAGCAGTTGCAGACTTGGTTCACCGGCAATGTGTTGCTTGTGAGTGTTATATGAAGTTTCTATATTCAATTTATGTTTATTATTTTTTGGACTTTTAAACCTCATACAAAGGGGATGAATACTAATAAATAAAAAATACTGGAGAGGAAGGAAGAGGTGAGGCAGGTGAATTAGGGATAAGGAAATGAGGGTAACATATTTGAATGCTTGATTACTTTTAATTATTGTTTGTTTGGCCTTCTTATCCTCTAAACTTTCAATTAAGCATAATTGTGTTAAGTGAGCCCTTCTGGCACAGATACAGCATTTTTTTTTGAAAAATAACTGTTACAATATTATAAAGAATATTATAGGCTCAATCTAAGTGTTGGGCTATGACCTGGAAGACCATGGTTCAAATCCCCACACAGCCATGAAACTGACTGGTTGACCTTGGGCCAGCCACCATCCCTTAGTCTAAGCTACCTCACAGGGTTGTTGTGAGGGTGAAATAGAGAGGAGAACCATGTACACCACCTTGAGCTCCTGCGAAGAAAAAGATGGTATATAAATGTAATAAATAAAAAAAACCACACAGACTTAATTGGGCAAGTCTTGGTACAACTTGCTTTCAAGCAAATGACTGAAGCTTAAGGCAAACATACTGCAGATTTGGCCACAATGGATCTCTCCACATGTTATCCTAGTTGATAGGGACAACTGGCACTTCTATTAAGCTTGTTGATAAACTACAAAACAGAGTAAATCTCAACAGCCTAAGGGCACCACAAATTAGGGCAATGCAACTCTCCACCAGTGTTAGAAATTAGCCAAGCCCCAGGTGTATTTTGTGACGGGCACGGATCCAATTCCAACCACGTGGAGATCTCTGGATGCCAGGCTGGCAACTGGGGAAATCAAAATGTCACTTACAGAACGATCTGAAATATTTTCCTTGAAGCTTCAGTTTGTTTTATTCTGGATTGTTTTATCTGATGCTTTAATGTGCTGTAAACCGCTTTGAGATTTGTTCTTTAAAATATAAAACGGTATAGAAATCAATAATCATAATTGTATTAATCTCCATTGCAAAAATAAAAGGTGCTGAGACATTCCATTGTGGCAACCGTAACCTTGGTTTATGACAATTAGATTATATATCTGAGTTTCTAACACTGCTCTCCACATTTGGCTCTACAAAAATGTATGGCTCTCAGTCCAAATACAAAATGTTTATATTGCCTGAAATATTTCATGAAAGATGGTATCCATTTTAAGTGTGTGTTCATGCCAATTGCATTTTGATTTAATAACCCATTACTAAGCTCTTGTATCATTTCTTTAAAAGTGAGAAAGTATACATGTAGCAAGTTAATAAAAATATTTAAACAATGATGCAAATGAGGATATATAATCTCACAGACAATATGAACTATATTTAAACTTTTGAGATGTCTTAACACCACTCATTCCTGAATCCAGTGGACTGTGGAGTTATAATTATACCATTTGTCAGAACATGTTACAATATTTCACCACAATGCCTTGGAGCCATAGACAGAAACAATGTTATTGAGAACAAGCAGGAAGAGAGAGAAAGAGAGCATATTGGTATAAGGATAACCAACAAATACTTTGCATACTCCAGATCTTCTAGGACAAAACAAGTATGGACACATATTCAGCCATTAGATTCTAAAGTTAATATCTGACAGGTTTCCTTTACTACCTATACCACATCCAAGCAGCCAAAAATTTGAGCTAGTTTTATTTTCACTCCAATATGAAGCAAGGCATCATACCTACGTTTGGGAATTCTGTCAAATTAGCCAGGGTCATATACTAGCTAATATTCTCTGTATAAAATCTATAGATTTGTGGCCCAGAAAAAAAGTTAATTTTTATTTTATTACTCAGGGCCAGACTTCTACGGCCTTTATTTTGGGTGGTGTATGTAATTACCAGATATCCCAGATTTATCCAGCCCTCACAACAGCATAGTCAAGTTTCTTCTGCTTGCCATTTACTGAAACCAAAACATAGTTACATAGATCTCAAGGGCTCAGTATTAATGTGCTGACTAGGAAGTACAGTCAAAACCTTGGTTGTCGAACATAATCCATTTCAGAAGTCTGTTTGGCTTCCAAAATGTTCGACAACCGTGGCACAGCTTCCGATTGGCTTCAAGATCTTCCTGCCTCAAGCAGAAGCTGTGACAGATGTTTGGAAACTGGAGCATTTACTTCCGGGTTTTCGGTGTTCAGGAGCCAAAGCGTTCCAAAATGGAGAGGTCCGGGAGCTGAGATTTGACCGTATATCCCATACACAAGATTTGGGAAGTTAGAAGAACTTCAGTCTTAAGAACAGCCAATTTTTTAAAAAAAGAACTGATTTAAACCAAATTTCCCATGTTATAGGTCATACATTTTCTTAATAAGAAAGCATGTAAAGTGGCGGCTATAACGTAACAAAACAAACATAACCTAGGAACATAACTAAAAAATGTTTAGTCATATAATTCCGCAGCACATCTAAGTTACATAAACTTAGATTTCTATTTAGTTTTCAATACACATTTAAGGATTTTAAGGGCTATCACTAACTGAAAGCTAATTCTAAAATCCTAATTATTTAATGGTTAATGCACATTTATCTAGCAGCAACAAAGAACAGTGGACTTCTGAGAAAACATGTGAATTTACTATGTGTAGAACTTTCAAGAAATTACTGAGCTAAGAATTTTTTCCTCCATGAGATGAGCACTATATATCCTTGAAAAGTCATTAAGATTCATAATCTGAGAGCTGAATTGCATAGGTCAGGTAACTAAATTCTATAAGTTCTCTTAAAGATCACCCTGTGAATGATCCTGGTAAGATACTGGAGGATATTTTCCAGAAGAATATCTGAATGGCCATAGGTTCCTCACTTCTGTTTAGCCAGGCTTTTACTTACTTGGTTTTTTTTTAAGAATCTGCTTTAGTTTTTAAATTCAAAATTAGTTTTTATCCCTTCTGCTACTATATTATCACCTTCTGCCAATGTTCAAGACAGTTATGAGTCACAATGTGCTTCCTGCTTGGCCACTTCTAAGGAAGATGCAAAGCAAAATGCACATTACCCTCCCAAGCTGATAAGAACTAGGAGGAGTAATAACTGTAGCATGATTTCTATCACAAAGAGCTGAGTCTGGAATTATTGCTAATCTTTTGCAGAAGCTACATTCCTGCCACTTAACTTTTGAGGGCCAACACAGTATATGCAAGTATATTAACATCAAAAGTGCACTTCTGGATCTGAGCACTCTTGCAAAGGTTGGAAGAACAGAATTCAAGCTTTCAGCAACGAGTCCAAAAAACAAACAAACCAAAAGCCAGAACACCAGCTCATCTATGTTCACTGCTCTTCCAACCACTCCTTTGGTTTCACAAAAAGACAAATGAAAAGTTAAGTGATTTTCAACATTTAATCTACCTCCCATCACAACCCATCCCAAAGTAGGCTGTTTTTCCATTTCCATAACACTTTGGCCCGTGCACACCCAGTACTGTTCAAATAATTTCAAACTGTCTGACAAACTGAATTCTGTAAACTAAAATTAATACAGTAAAATAAACACATCCAAATTCAATTAGCATAATTTATTCTGGATCCAGACTGGCTTGATGCAAAACTCAAGGTCCTGCTTAGTGGGAAGCAAACTAAATACAATACAATGCTATGACACAAAAGTCCAATGCTACATACACTAGGGAGCTAACATACCACAAAAGGCATATTAAGTAATACTATAACCAGGGTTAACCACCTGATGGATCAAATATAGGGCAATCATGTCTATGGTGATGAAATATTTAAAATTATTTTATTAGTATTGTAATGCATGTCCATAAAGACAAGCTACTAATTATTACAATTCAATGATTATATATCACTAGGTTATGCAAGTGTCAGTAATAAAAGAGGGCAAAACAATTCTCACTAGCTTTTGTTTGAAGCCACAAGGATAGTCTAAACACACACTTGGTTTTCAATTTAGTGAAGAAACACATAGCCACTATTTAAAAAACAGGTGTTAGTTTTAAATGTTGTTACAAAGCAGACAAGCGGGCATCTGTTTCTAAATGAAGATAGACAAAGGGTGTGTGTGCATGTGGTATATAGATATATCACACCACATACTTCTGTAGC